CTAATTCTAGATGAACAATTGGTGCAGTATTTTTATGATGGGTTGAAGAACCAAGAGAAGGGTATGTTAGACCTGCATCAGGAGGATCTTTGATAGACTACACTGCGGAGGAGGCTTGGGATTTGATCAAGAAAATGGCCTTGAATCATCAACAATTTAGTGCAAGATGTCACACCTTACTATAATATTGACTTAGGTTCCTTTGGAAATCATTTTAGACCACATTGGATGGTCTTGGGCTCACTTTTTACCATAAAAACACTAAATTTCGGATTTTTACTATTCATCGGGTAAAAATCCGTTTTTTCTAGCCCAACTTCAAAAATTCATAACTTATTCTAAAAACATCCAATTGAGGTGATTCAAAATTCTACTTAAATATCTTTAAGTTCTTTTTCAAAGAAAAATAATCTCATTGTCCAATTCCTTATGAGAAAGCATCAGGTTTTTTAGAAAAGCAACACTGTCCATTTGTCAAAAACTCTAGTTCCTAGATTCTGACCATTAATTTTGAAAAATCATTATAAATTGTATAATGGTCCATTTTTAACATATTAGCTATCAAACTGAAACTCAGAATGTTATCTTGCATCATGTCAAATTCATGATTAAATGCATTCGGGACCATAATCAAAAAGTCACGTGAACCAGTCAGTGTAAGTGTGATTCCAGCACTGTTAGTTTAATATTTACATAACCAAAATGAGCTCACGAATTTATGTGGCTAAACCCCACAAATTAGCCTTCAATCTGAAGCTTTCCCTTGGACGATTCAAGCCCTAAAATGTTACATTATTTTTGGGGGATGAGATTTTTGAAAATCCCAGTAGCAAATTAACCAACTATAGCACCAAGCAAGCATCATTATTATGCATGATCATATTAGCTACTATTGGTGAACTAACATGCTTATCATTTGGCAAACTCAAACATGCAAAGGCCAAAGCAAGATACTACATAGAACAGCCACATAACAATCAAGAAAGCTCAACCACAATAATAGCAATTAACCATACAATAATCAATAATGCTAGTTAGTGGTAGTAGCCAGGTTTAACTTACTACCTTACTCCAAAAGTCTTAACTTTTCTTCCTTCTCCTCTTTCCCTTGACAAATATCAAACCCTAACCATATAATCCATCAAAAGAGGCAGCCATAATTATTATTCAACCATAAAAAAGCAAGAACATACATCAAAATGATTCTTGAACCATAAAGTTCCTTCCTTTGTTCACTACTTTTAGATTTGGTTCTTTTAACCCTAAAAATCACTCCTTGACTCATCCCTACATGGTTTTTCATGTAGATTTCAAATATATGCTTAGATCTAGGAAAATAAAATGGCCTCCTTCAGTTTCCCCTTTGACCGAACCACAAGGAATCATGAACCAAAAATCACAACTTTGCTTTAAAGCTTCCAACACTTGTTCCTTTTAGTTTACCCCACACCATTCCTCATTTTAAGCATCATGGAAGCCTTAAAACAATGAAAAAATCATCCCAGGGTTCAGTTCCTCACTTGGCCGAAATGGAAGCTCAAGAAAACAACCATGAGAAATGCTTTAAAACAACTTAAACTCACTTGCAAACACTAGAATCTAGCTTGTTTTATTGTGTCTTAGCAAGTGTGATGATCAAAACTTCTTTCCCCTTTTTATTAATCAGTTTGGTCAACATCAAGAGAGGGAGGAGACAGATTTTTAACCATAAAAGAGAAAGAAACCAAATCAAGAACACTTCTAGGACCAAGATCTAACCTTGAAACCTTGCTTGGATGATCAAAGGTGCTCCCTTTCTTCTTGTTTTCTCTTAAACTCTCTCTTTTCTCTCCCTTTTTCTCCTTGGCCAAATTGAACATCTGAAAATGGGGAGAGAAGAGCTTGATTAATGCTTCAAAATATCCCAACCACCTTCTTTAATGATAGTCCAAGTGTCATTACCCTACTAAATCTTGATTCCTCTCTCATAATTAACAAAATTCCAAATAAAATTAATTACTAAAGTCAAAATCCTCTCCATTTATGGAATAACACTTGGCTAATTCACATCTTCTCCTTCAAGAGCTTGACACATGGCTCAATAGGATCCCTTGGATTTACAAGACACCAATCTTGCTTTATCAGTATACTTTAGGCTCTGAGTTTAACTTCTTTTTTATAATTACAGTAGCTTAGACTCTGTAATTATTTTCTATCAAATCCTTAATTTATTCTCCTCATTATTATCTTCCCAAATTGCCTTCTTTGTCTCAAAATTAAGTTCGTAATAATTAAATATAAAGGAAAATTAATTTCCTTCCCTTTAGGGATTTTTTCCACTTTTCACATTTATTTGGAAAAATCTTAGACACTTGAGGGTCTTCATTTAATTCCATAATTCCTTATAATTCCTTGGGATCTCATAGTAATTTTCTTGGAATTTTATTCCCCTTAAAAATATTTATTTGGAATTTTCCAAATAAAATCCCTTAATCAGCCCAAATCACCCTTTAATTCTCTCATAATTTCTCTAGGGGTAATTTGGTCATAAAACCAACTTTATAATTTCGTATAACCCTTAAAGGATATTATTCCTATTTTTTCTTAATTTTCCAAGGCTCAGAAATATTTTTTCTTATTTACATTTGACCAATTTTCCTTAATTAGTCAATTTCCTATAATTGGGTTGGAAAATTACTGTAATTATTTTGCCACCAAAATCCTTTGACTTTTCCTTATCATTTTTAACCCTCAATAATTTGAGAATATTTTTTTATCTCTAATTACCATAATGCTGGATGTGACATTTCTCCCCCCTAAATAAATTTCGTCCTCGAAATTTAAAGCGTACCTTAATGGAAAAGCTCTGAGTACTTTTTCTTCATCTCAGTTTCCATCTTCCATGTGGCTTCTTCGGAGGAAAGACCCTTCCAGACCACTTTGACCAGGGGAATCTGCTTGTTCCTCAACTGCTTGGTCTTCTGATCAACGATTCGTTCTGGTCTAACCTCAAAAGATAGATTATCCCGAAGCGCAATGTCATCATAGCTTATGACATGCGTGGGATCTGGATGGTACTTCTTCAGTTGGGAGACATGGAAAACATCATGAATCTGACTTAACTTCGGGGGAAGAGCCAACTTGTAGGCCACTGGTCCAGCTTTGGATAGAATCTGAAATGGTCCAACGTACTTCAGACCGAGCTTCTTAGTTTTTAGGGACCGTCCGACTCCCATTATTGGCGACACTTTGAGGAAAACGTGATCACCAACATCAAATTCTAATGGTCTCCTTCTCGTATCTGCATAACTCTTTTGTCTACTCTGAGCTGTTAGAAGTCTCTACTGAATAGCCTTTATCTGTCGGGAAGTCTGATCCACCATGTCAGGACCAAGAGAACTTCTCTCACTCAGCTCTATCCAGCATAAGGGAGATCTGCACTTTCTCCTATACAATGCCTCATAAGGTGCCATTTGAATACTTGAATGGAAACTGTTATTGTAGGCAAATTCAATTAGCAGTAAGGATGTATCCCAATTGCCGCCAAAATCCAATACACAGGCACGTAACATATCCTCTAATGTCTGAATTGTTCTTTCCTTCTGCCCATCCGTCTGGGGGTGGTAGGCTGTGTTGAATCTAAGAGTGGTGTCCATCTCTTTCTGTAAGGATCTCCAAAACTTGGAAGTAAATCTTGGGTCTCGGTCCGAAACAATACTACTTGGAACACCATGCAGCCTAACAATCTCCTTGATGTAAAGTCTCGCTAACTTCTCTGGCGAATCCTTTACATTCATACTGAGAAAATGTGCGGACTTAGTCAGACGGTCTATTATCACTCATATTGCATCATGTTTAGCCGCTGTCATCGGTAACCCCACTATAAAGTCCATGGATATACTGTCCCATTTCCACTCAGGGATATCCAGGGGTTGCAACTCTCCTGCAGGCTTCTGGTGTTCTACCTTCACCTTCTGGCAGGTAAGACACTTTGTCACATATTTCGTGATATCCTTCTTCATTCCAGGCCACCAGAAGAGTTCTTTAACATCATGGTACATCTTTGTCATTCCTGGGTGAAGAGTATATTTGCTCTTATGGGCTTCTGCCAGTATCTCTTTTCTGAGATCCGACACTTGGGGAACATATGTTCTTTCTTTAAACTTTAGTATCCCCTCCTCAGAAACTTTCGGATTCAACTCTAAATCCCTTGTGGGTAAGATTAGGGTTTTGTTCTTACAATCCATTAGGATATTGTGGGATGACAACCAATTTAGTCCAATCACCACATCCATCTCATGGAAAGGCGTGCATATCAAATCTATAGTAGTGCAACAGTGCTCATAACAAACTATACAGTTCAGGCACACATCAGATGTAACTACCCTACTCTGTATTAGGGTAGATGCATGTATATCATATGGCAATGTATTTATACTCAAGCCAAGTCTTTTCACACAGGCATATGAAATAAAAGAATGACTAGCACCCGAATCAAACATTACAATCACCGGAGAATTGTTAATCATGATCATACCTTGGATCATCTCCGGAGGCTTTCGGGCTTTTTCTCTTGTGATGGCAAACACTTGGCCTTGGGTGCGTGGTCTTACCTGCTCGGTGTTCTGTGGGCACTCCCTTGAGAAATGTCCAGGTTTACCACAGGTGTAGCAAACATTCTGTCCAGCCATGCACGGTCTGTCACCGTGATTCTTGCCACACTTAGGACACTCCTTGCCCTTCGGTGCTTTACCGCCTTTCTTGTTCTTGCGGTTATTCCAGGGTTGTTTCCTCTTCTTATTCACGTTAGATGAGGTAACACCTTGACCTCCTTGACTTCCCTTCTCTACTCTGGGAGTTGTCTTGACCATTAGATGATGGTTGAAGCTGCTTTCCATGATTCGGCAAGCTTCCACTGCTTTATTGAATTGCTCAAATTGTCTGGGAGCAATCATCTCCCTCAATGATGGCCTTAGTCCTTGAACCATCTTCTCTGTCATCCACCTCTTATCGTCTCTATATCAGAGATAGCTTGAATAATGAGAGAGACGGATGAACTTAAACAAGTATTCATCAAAAGGCTCATCATCCCTTTGCTTCAAAGTCAGAAATTCCACTTCTCTCTCATCTCGGACAGATCTCAAAAAGTACTTCTCATAAAACTGCTCCAGAAACACTTCCCAAGTCACCGTTGTGTTTCGAGTATCGAGAAGAATTTCAGTATTCTTCCACCAGCGATCGGCATCTTTCTCCAGCTTATATATCGCCATCTGGGCTTTTCGCTCTAATAAGCAGTACAGCACCTTGAAGATCTTCTCTAGGTGATTAATCCACTCTTCTGCCACTTGAACATCAAATGTCCCATCAAATGACGGCGGGTTGTGTTTATAGAATCGGGTCATCCACTGTTGAATACTGTCAGGGTCTGTTGCTGGCATTGCCGGCCTTGGCAATTGTTCTGATACTGGTGCTGCAGAGACCTCTTCCTTTGGTTGCCTTCCGTCGAGGTTAGCTAATGTCGCTACCACTGTCGTAGCTATCGCTGCATCCCTTTCTTGTTCTTGACGAGCTTGAGCTACTCTCATGTCCTCGATGGTCTTCTGCTATTGCTTGAGGCGTTCCAAAATCAATTGTAATGGATCAGGAGGGACCCTTGCATCTTGCACTGGGGGTCTCTCCGGTGAAAGGTTTCGTCGAGTTCTAACCATTGCTTAACTAACCGGATGGCACAACAAAGAACAAGAAATAAATATCATGCTTGGATTCCATTCACAAAATGGGCATACAACAAAAAACAGCTAAGCATTTACCAATAAAGTGCAATCAACACATCCATCGACCAAGCATTATCAGCCTAACCTACTCGGGTTAGCTGTACCAAAATATATCCTACGTTAGTGATAGGACAGTCCTAGCGTCTACAGAAAGTGAACAATAACAAAGCCCTCGAGGCTTCGGATCCAGTCTTCTACATCATCTCCCAGCAAGTAGTTCAGGCGGACGATCTCATGGGTCCAGAAGGGAGTGTTAGGTAGGACATCTACCATCTCACATAACCAGTCAAATGGTTCTAAGTAAGGGTTGCCTGGTCTATGTGCCTGATACAACTCCCTCACACCCTGGAGGTAGTCTAGGTGTACTCTCAGGTCTGCATCCACATCCCTCCTGATGTGATGCCCTATGAACCTCAGCCGGTTACTCAGCCGACCCACACTACGGATCTCATGACTAGGATGAACTGGGGCAAGTACAAATGGTACTGCAGGTGCTACAGGTATTGTCGGGGCTGGTGGTACAACTGGTACAGTATTGGGTCTAGGGATATTACATGGATACATAGCAAGAGTAACAGGATGCTTAAGAGATTGAACATAAAAATCTAAATCTAATGGCTCTTGGTACAAGCCAGTTACAGGGTTGACCAGATCTCCGGGTCCGAGGAGGTACAGCAATTGTTCTGCCATGATCCCTAGCAGCTCTGGGTAGTGCTCAACACAGTCATTGGAGCATACTGATGAATGGCTAGGGCTGGCATCTCCCATTACCCATTCCTTTGGGTCCTCGTCTTTGGTGAGATCAATTACTATTGGATCCCAAGTGTTAACTGTAACATCTTAAATTCTACTCCAAGGATTTAAATATTTAAAAATTGAAAAAAAAAGGGGTTCAAACTGTTATTTTTTCCGTTTTACCTAGGGTCTTTAACTTCAGTTTACCCCGAGTGTTTTCTTTTTACCTTCTTCCCGTCTTCTCCTTCTTCTCCTTCTCTCTCTCCGCGTTGCTTCGTCCGCTCGCTCGCAGCGTCGCTCTCTCTCCCTTCTCTCTTCATTATTACAGATCATTTTGGTAAGTAAAACTACTTCTAATTACAAAACTCTCTTCATGAAAGTTGTTCTACTCAATTAGATCTATCTAATGATAGTAATTTTGTGTTGCTTAGAGAAAATTTTTGGTATAGAGTTTAGAGCAAGTATTTAGTTTTGATGAGTGTTAATCACAGTATTATAGATCTGTTATAGTAGATCATTTCTACCGGTTTAGATTTGTCTATTTATTGATTTTGGTATTTAAAAATTAATTTTTAATTAAAAAATATGTTATTTATGATATATATATCATATTTATACCGATTAAAATTAAGTTAAATAATTTATTTGGGTTGTTTGATATATTCTTAAAATTTTAATCGGTTTAGTTTTATTTATTGAGTGACTAGAGGTTTTAAAATAATTATTGTAATTAAAGTTTCTTATTTATTGAAAAAAAAACATATATATGCCATTAAAATCTTGGTTTGATTATTTATATATATAAATATTTGAGACACTATTGAATTTTTGATGGTCTGGTTTTGAGGCTTAAATTTTAAATGTGATTTTTGGAATTTAGAATATACTAATTTCATATTTAGAAATTTTAGAAAATTCTTTTTATTAAAGTAAATAAGTTGAGGGATGTAAATAAATAATTTGGCTTGTTAGAAAATTACCAATTAGTTCTAAAGTACTTAATTTTGGATTATAAGAGTTGTGAGAATTTAGAATGATAATTAAATTAAATTAGGAATTTAACTAATATATATAAGCTTAATTAATTAGCTTATATTAATTTGTGGCTATATTAATGGTGTAGATTGATTATTGGATTGTTGGTTTGAGCACGGGGTTGACTTTGTAGTAATTCTTTTTATAGCCTTGGTGAAAGGTAACCACTTTCCACTTGTTATGTATGCTTGTATGATGTTTGTGAGTGATTTCAAATTATATGAGATTCTTGAAATGCCATTGAATTATTATTTGAGCAATGAAAGGCATCGTTGTTGAAATTACCTTGAGATACTTTATGTTATTGAAAAATAGTATGAAATTATGACTTTATAAATTTGTCATGTGGAACAAGAATTTATTGAGAAATGGTTTGAGGACTGGTGTTGATTATTGAAATTTCGAAATCTCGATTTTGAAAAATGTGAAAGTTATTATGTTATTGGTAAATGACTATTCTCATGAGTATAAATACGAGAGGGGACGGTGAACGTTGATCTGTGGGAGACATGTTATAGGGAGAATAAGGGGGTGAATTTTTGTACATATTATAGAGGTAATAAGGTGGGAGGACGCCAGATGTACACTGGTTGATCCTTTGGCCCTATCATGTGTTGTAGGGCGTATGACACCCCGCTAGTGGACTAGAGGGGGAACCCATGGTCCGATCTTGTGCTCTGTGGATTTTGGCCTATTCACATCATTTGATCGGTGAGCTTATTATGTTGAACTACCAGTCACATGGGACAGTACTAGCCCATGGGTTCAGTCAGAGGAAATAAGGTGTGAGGAAATAAGGTGGAATTGAGAGTGAGATATTGCATTTTGATATGTATATGTATATGTATATATATATAACCATGTGACAATTGTGAATGTTATGATTTTAGTAACTGTTCCACTTGACACCTCTCAAGCACTTACTTGTATGCCTAATGAGTAGGATTGTTGGTTACTGAGGCTTTTGTCTCACCCCGTGGTTTAACATTTTCAGATAATAGCTCTAGGGCTGGTCCATCAGGGAAGGCAGCGAAGGCTTAGCTATCAAGTATATCTTGTATAGCCTCCTTTTAGTCATGTGATGAGTATTGTATATTGCCACATATAGCTCTTTTTGCATACTCTGATTTAATCGAGACTTATGGTCTTAGTTACTTTTGCTGCTGGGTTGCTTGGGTCGGTAAGCTGTGAACCCACAATAACTTTTGAAAGTGTTGACTTTTGATTAATGAGCTCTATAGTTTATATTAAACTGATTTATCAGTTCGTATGTTTGAAAATATCAGTTTGGTTTGGGCTAATGGTTGAATGATATTTCTGAACTTTGGAAGTCCAAGACCCAAGGTAACGATCGATGTTACTCTTATTATAAGTTTATTTCTTTTAACCATGATAGCGATTTTAAAATTTTAAGGTTTCTTCTTTTCTATCATGGTTAATCGTTCGAATAAATTGAAAATTTTGATCTAAATGGGTTTTAAAGGAACGGTTGTCACATTAACCGATGGCTCAGGTTTAGTATCCCAGTCCATGGTAATCCCCATCTTGATTCCTGAAAATAGGTGTTAGTTCTCAACATCTAAGGGATACTTAAACAAAGCATTCTATCTTATGCCAGCACCTCCGCTCTGATACCAAAAATGTCACGCCTTACTATAACATTGACTTAGGTTCATTTGGAAATCATTTTAGACCACATTGGATGGTCTTGGTGAAAGAGAGCCTTTCTTATCATTCGCTTAGAGGTTCTCGCTCAAAAATTTATCCAAGCTATGCAGTAATGCAAACTCGGGTCGTTCTCTTTTGGGAGCCTTAGTTAGTTATCTAGGTTAGACTAATGCTATGCAGAGTAATGAAAAAGGGGGTTTTTGGGTTTTTAACAATTACTAAAATGCCTAAACTAAATGCAATTAATTTAAATCTAAATTACTATGTTTTTGGATTTTTCTAAGATAGTGGTAATGTAGTGAAGTTAATGATATGTAATCTCTTGAATACAGTTCTGAAGCAATCATAGTTCAAAATAATTTTGGGAGTAGAAATCACCAAGTTTTCTAAATGAAAAACCTTAAGGAACTCTTTAAGTCTAGGATCTTAATCAATGGCACCCATCTCATAAGATCCTATTAAGCTCACTTAGTGTGTGTATTAAGATTAATTAATGCACTTGGTTTAATGCAAGCCTAGATTAACTCAACAATCAAATAATACCATGCAAGAAGGAGAGTATCAAAAGAGTTGCATAGAAACATACATGTAACCACATGTATTGAAGCTCAAATTCAACACTAACTAATCCAATACACAAAATAATCATCCAGAATTGATTACAACCATAATCAAAATAGTTCAACCCAAATTTACAAATCCTAAGACCTAGAAGTTCATAAATAAAGAACTAGAACTTATGGATGAAGCTAACTCCCCTTTGAAGCTCTGTGAACTCATGCTTCTTCCACCATATTCAAGAGTTGAGAAGCTTAGCTCGTCATAACTCTTGAATCAACTCCAACTAGGTATTGTTCTTCAGCCATGGCAGCAGCAGATGGAAGAAATGGAAATGGGATTAGGGTTTCTGAGGTGGAGATGAGAGAAGAAGATGAAAGAGACGTAGGTGGAGGCTGAATAGTGATAGTCTCCTCTCATCATACCCAAAATAGGGTTTCTAACCCGAAACTTGCGTGCATGGGTGGGTTCTTAGGGTTAGGTAGGTCAAAATTTCCCGAAATGGTCGGGTCTGAGATATACTGATTCGAGAGGTTCACCGCGGCGAAACATGGCAGAGAGCCTTGCTTCAACAGATGATTTTCGCCGCGGCGAACTTAGGCAGAGGGTCCTTTCCTGCTTCTTTTGCCTTGAGTTCTTCAATTCTAGCCCCAATCTTTAGTGTCCTACACTGGAAAGCAACAAATTAAAGTATCAATTGTCCTAGAAATTAATTGAATACAATTAATAACCAATTATGACAATTTTACCCTCAAAAAGATATTAACTCAATGTAAAGACTCTTAATCTAAATTAAGCACAATTATCATTAAAAA